GTTTTTAGACTATCTGTAACATAATACACATTTGTTCATTTGCTTCTCTAAGGTGAACTGAAGTGACAATCCCATCCCTCACCCTTTTGGAAATGAAGGTATTTAGAAACTATGGATGTTTTATCTTTATAGTTCCTAAATCTCATTCTTATAAAATTTGTTCTAAGTTAACACTCATTAATTTCAAGCTTTAAAGTAGCACACTGTCAAAAATTCCTTATAACTAATGCTTCTGCTTTGTTATTTTTGGTAGTTAAATAAATTTCTGCTGTCTATAAACTATCTAGTCTGTGGTATTTTGTTATGGCAGCCCAACAGATTATTAACACATTAAGTCTTCACCAAATAGGGAGTTTTACTTTTTCTTTCAAATCTGTGTGACTTGTATTTCTTTTTCATGCTTTGTTAAACCTGTTGGGGGTTCTAGTACATTGCTAAATAGGAGTGATGGGAGAAGATATTTCTGCTTGGTCCTATCTTAGAAACCATGCAGGTTTTCACCTTTAAGTATGCCATTAATTGTATGTATTTGCTTTTATTTTTTTTTCCTAACTTCTTGAATATTCAGTTCACTTATTTTAATTATTTGCCGATCAGTAATATGTATTTAAGGATAAAATTTTCCTCTGAGTACTACGTTAGCTATATCCCATACAGCCAGTTAATTTTTTATTTACTGTTAGTTTTTAGACGGTTTATAATTCCTCTTCAACCTAAAAGCGTTGAGCTTTAGAATATGTAGATAGTGAGGTTCCACAGCCTTTTTGTTCATTTTACTTTACTGCTCTAAAATCAGGACAATAGTTCTTTGAGAACTTTACTGACATTTTATGACCAAACTTATTATCAGTTTTTGTGGATATTCCACAGGAGGTGAGTTCTGTTTTCAGAATACAGAATATGGTCTATACCAATCAATTCATTTAGATCTTCAATATCTTTACTTATTTTTCATTCAGTTAATTTATCATGAGATAGATGAGATAAAATCAAGTTCCTACTACTCATGCACTTCTTGTTTCACATCATGATTCCCGTAGTTTCTGCCTTATAAAAGCTATATAAAGGAAATACATAGATATATGGCACATGTAAGGCATATATTCCCATTAGATCATCTTTGTGGATTTCAATTATAAATTGCCTTTAATTGTCTTGCATAAATCTTTTTGCCCTAATTCAACCTTCACTAGTATTAGGATTGTTATACTCTGCTTGCCAAGTATTTCTTCTAGATCTTTTGTCTGGTTACTGACTTTATTTAACACAAGTTAATACCCAAAATTTCTTTCTTTTATGGTTTCTGGGTTTTTAGTCTTATTTAAGAACTTCACCAACCACCACAATAGATTACACAATTAAAGTACACTATTTTTTTTCAGATCATGATTTTCTTGTCTTTTAGTAAAAGGTTATGGTTTTCTTCAGAAGTTTCCTGTTAAATGTATTTGAAAGCATATCATAGTTTTTACAACTAGTATTAATAGAATTTTTTTTTAGGTCCTGGTCACTGGGCTGAAGAATGGAAGTAAAGCATTAATTCTGTGTGTCTGTGAGGATGTTTCCTGAAGAGATTAGCATTTAAATTGGTGAACTGAGTAAAGCATATAGCCCTGGTGGGCAACATCTAATCCCTTGACTGGAATAAAAAAGGTAGAAGGGCAGGGCACCTGGGTGGCTATTAAGGGACCAATTCTTGGTTTTGGCTCAGATCCTGATCTCAGGGTCCTGGGATCCAGCCCTACATCAGGCGCTGTCCTCAGTGCAGAGCCTGCTTGTCCCTCCCCCTCTGGCTACTCCCTGTGCTCTCTCAAGTAAAAAAATCTTTAAAAAAAAAAAAAGGCAGAAGGGCAAATTAACTCTGTCTGCTTGAGTTCAGAAATCCATCTGCACTGGAACAGGGGCACTCCTGGTTTCTGGGCTTTTGGAGTTAGACTGGGACTTACACCACATTCCCTGGCCTTCAGACTAAGTCCGTGCTTTGCCACTGGCTTTCCTGACTCTCCAGCTTACAGACAACAGATCAGCAGATCATGGGACTTCTTGGCATCCATAAGCACATGAGCCAATTCCTATAATAAATCTCTTTTATATATCTATACATATCCTACTGCTTCTATCTCTCTGGAAAACCCTAATACATTCCCTTTTAGATGTTTCTGCTATGAGACAACAGTTGTTGATTTCCTTATGCTTATTGTTCCATCTTATCAAATTCCAGTCTTTTTTAAAAAACCTAGAATCTCTCAGCTATTCTAGGTTTATAATCTTATAAACGGAAAAGAGAAATATTTTTATTTCTTTTCCAAAGCTGATCATATAAAAATTAATTCCTCTCCACCACCCATCTTTCTTTTGGTCTAACTACATTTGCTAGAACCTCTAAGAAAATGTTTAAAATTAATGGCCATAATGCTTCTGTCTAGTCCCTCATTTTAATTCACTAAGTGGGTAGTAAGTTTGGTCAAATGCCCTCATCATATCTGAGTAGTTTTCTCCGGTACCTTTTTTACCTATAGCTTATATTAGAAATGACTGCTGAATATTATCAAAGGCCTTCTTAGTACCTACTTATCTGACCATATAATTTTTCTTCTTTAATTTGCTGATATGAATTATGATAATAGAGTGTCTAATTAAATTTCCTGTAAATTCCTGGAATAAATTCTACTTGGTCAGTGGCGTAACTACTCACGTGATACACTGCTGGATTCTACATGCTAATATGTACTTATAATTTTTACATCTATATTCACCAGTGAGAACGCCTATAACCCCCCATATGCTTTTTTCTCACTATTTATGAGATTTGGGGTATTAAAGCTATGCAGAAGTCATAAAGTAAATTGAAGACCTTTTCATCTTTTCCTAGGGCCTGGAATAATTTAAATAACACAGGTGTAGTGTTTGAAAATAACAACAGATGGTATTAATGAATATTTTATTAGATGTAAACACATTACATGCATTGACTCACGTTAAGTAATAATTCAGCTGTGAATCCACCTTGTCTTGGTGTTTTCTTCAACAGATCTCTATTCACCTTTCCAATTTCTTCTATGTTTAATCTCCAAGTTTTCTACTTTTGCAGAAAGTCGATTTGGTTTATTTGTATTTCGAAAAAACCAACCATTTGCTAGCGTCAAGACTGTTTATACAACGCTGCATGTGGATTCATACCAGTCTATGATTATGTGATTATATCTCCCTTCTTCCTAATCTCAATTATAATTGTTTTCCATCTCCTTAATCAGAAGCAAAAGGAGTTTCTCTATGATCTGAACTTTACAAAGACACGTTGTGGACTTACTCATTTCTATTTCTTTAGTTTTTTTTATTTCTTTAGTTTTAATGTTTACATTCGTTGTTTCATTTTTCCAACTTTCTTTTGGTTTCCTTGTTATTTTTTAAATTCCTTTAAAATGTGCACTGAGTTCCTGGACTAGTCATTAAACTTATTATTTCTCATATTTAAACCTTCCCTTCAAACTCAGCTCTGTGATGCTAACAATCAAACACATGAACTCTGAATCCTGGATCAGAATCAGTTTGTTAATTAAAATACACTCTAAATAGTTTTTTTAGTAATTGGGGAAACTTTATATGGCCAATATATTAGAGGACATTATTGAATTACTGTTTATTTTCTTAAAAGTGATGTATTGTGGTTATGTAGTAGACTCATTTTTAGGAAATGCATACTGAATTGTTTAGGCATGAAATGTTATGACATCTGCATTTTTAAATGATTTATGGGCTGAACTATGTCCCCTCCCTAAAAAGTTCATAGGCTGAAGCCCTAACCCCAGTATCTCAAAATATGACTATTCTGGACATAGGACCTTTAAAGAGCTAATTAAGTTAAAATGAGGCCATTATGGTAGACTCTGGTGTCTGACTGGTATCCTTATCAAAAGAGATTAGAACACAGAGAGAGACACCAGGGGGCATACACACATAAGGGCAACCAAATCAAAAGGCAGCAAGCAACAAGGGGCACCTGGGTGGCTCAGTATAGGTTAAGTGTCCAACTCTTGGTTTCAGCTCAGGTTATGCATGATCTCAGGGTCCTTGGATCGAGCTCCACATCCCCCATGTCAGGCTCCGTGCTCAGCAAGGAGTCGCTTGAGGATTCTCCAGTTCTGCCCTTCCCTCCCCCCACTTCTAAATAAATCTTAAAAAAAAAAAAAAAAAAGAGGCAGCAACAAGGTGGCCATCTGCAAGCCAAGAAGAGAGGCCTCAGAGGAAACCAACCTTGCCAGTACCTTGATCTTGAACTTCCAGCCTTCAGAACTGAGAAACTGATTTTCTGTTCTTTAAGTCAACCAGTCTATGGTATTTTGCTATGGCAGCCCTAGAAAGCTAAAACAAATAGCTCTGGGAGAAAAATGATAAATACAAAGAGAGAAAGCAAAAATAGCAAAATGTTAATGTTGCTGATTTCATTCTATGATTCTTTCAATTTTTAGATAAATTTGAAATTTTCCAAAATAAAAAGGTTTGTATTAGCATCCCAAAACTCTGGGCAGTTTTTATCATCACAATAGTCAAATTTTATGTACCTATATAAAATGAACCACCTTACTATCTCATCTGTGAAATGAGACAATTATCAACCTGACATTAATAGATACCAGAAGAATTTTAAGTGTTTTAAACCAATTAACGTAATACCTGGTAGACTAAGTACTTAATAAATAATGAGTATCACTAGCAATAAATTCAAATTCCAAATGAGAGATGTGATTCTGCTTCAGGCTGGCATCATTGTTGTCAAAAATGTATGAGTAGTAGTTTAAGAAAATCACCTTAATCATGAAAGCAATTAACTGTATTCTCATATATACCAAAAGGACCAATCATTACAAGTAAACCAATTCTACACTGTTGAATCATTTTATATAGATACAATGCAGAAAAATAAACACATTCTTGAGGTAAGAAATCATGGAAGGAACAACAAAGAAATTTTGAAATGGAAATGAAAGTTTTTAACTTACTGACTGACTAAATCAGATCCCATCTTAGTGCCATCATCTGCCTCCTCTTCCATATCAGAGTCCATACCATTGTCACCTTATAAATAAAATAAACTATTGAAAGCAGGCTTATAAAATGTCAGAACAATTTAATCATTACACAAAGTGCCATCTATAGAAGTGATGCAGATTTGAGAACTTTATAGTTGTTGAAAGATGAAATTGTTAATTGCTTATATTTAAAATGAGTTCCTTTCAATGCCTTATTAGGTATTTCTCACTGCCTTCTCATTACCTATTTTATAAATACACATACACACACACAAAACGTGTCTGTGTGTGTGTGTATGTGTGTATATATATATATATATATACTTATAGGCTACACCCAGATGTATACATCTATTAGCAAAGTTACAAATTCCATTAAACCATTTTAATTTTTTTTAAAGATTTTATTTTTAAGTAATCTCTACACCCAACATGGGGCTCAAACTCACAACCCCGAGATCAAAAGTCGCATGCTCTACCAAGTAAACCAGCCAAGCATGCACATTAAACCATTTTACATTTAAAAGAGACATTATCTCTGGAAATTTAAAGTCTCCATTTTTTTGCTTCTTCTCTTGTAATGCTAATGTTAAAATCCTTGTATAGTTCCAAAAGAAAAAAAAAAGCCTGAAAATCTAAAATTCTGGGGCACCTGGGTGGCTCAAATGGTTAAGCATCTGCCTTCAGCTCAGGTCATCATCTCCGGGTCCTGGAATCTAGCACCACATCAGGCTCCCAGCTCAGCGGAGAGTCTGCTTCTCCCTCTCCCCCTGCTCATGCTTTCTCTCTCTCTCTTTCTCTTCTCAAATGAATAAATTTAAAAAAAAGAAAATCTAAAATTCTACAGGTAATAGTGTCACAAAGAATAGTCACACTTTAGGCAGAGATAAATGTAGGCAAATTGCAAAAATTCTTCCAACTCCACAGCCAGGTCTTATTACAGCAAAAGTAGTATAGCAACAGGCAGTTACAAGCAATAGGGATGTAAAGCAGAAAATAAAAAATTATTTTAAGAAAAGCCATCTCAATAATTAATACTTCTTTACAGCATTTTGGGTAAAATTTATTTCATTTTATTATTGTATACTAACTTATGCTCTTATCTTTGATTATATTTATTTGAGAAAACGAAATACACATCAAAAAGTCTATTCTTGAAATGCTCTTCTGCTATGTAAGCTATATTTCAAAGTACAAATAGAAAAATTACTCAATGATTACCCAGTAATGAAATTAAATAATCAAGTAAAAAAAAAGAATAACTTAGGATTTATGCTACTTATATGTTAACTAGTAAGTTACCAGAGTGCAGAAATATGTATTCTTACCCTCGAGAATCTTCAAGATTTTTTTTTCAGATAGTAGCTCTAACTGTTCTTGGCACAGTTTTTTAATTTCTTCTATTGAACAGTTCTAAAGAAAATGACATTAAAAAAATACATTTATGTAATATAGTGCCAATATAAACTAGAAAATAGTAATCATAAAAAATGTCTGGTTAGCAAACTCTTACATTAAAACAAATTAAAAGCCATATAAATCTTTCCATGAGATGAAATCTGTAAAATGGTCAATAACATGTAAACGTTATAATTTATAGACATTTGATGAGAATAAAGTCATGTTTATTATGAAAGAACAAACTAAAGAGTAAGTCAGGTGCCCAGATATTAATAGCAGCCTATTTGTTAGATAATTCCTCTAAAAGATTTACATACTTAAGTGCTGGCTCTATACATCTTAGATCTTCCATGCCCTATTTCCATAACTGTAAAATTAGAATACCATAAACAAATATATGAAAATATTTGTGAATTTAATGAAATGTAAGCTTTTACCAACCAATACTGTATACTGTTACATAGCAGAATATTATTTAAGACACCAGAAAGAGTCATTATACCACTAATTTTGTTACTAAAATTGCCTGCATTTAATAGAATTATTTCCAAAAGGTTAAGAAATTCCTTACCTAAACACAGCATACTGCTCCATTTTTTCTTGGCAAACTTCTAAATATACAAGGCCATTTATACTTCTCCAAGATCCCATTTTTTAATCTTTTTGAAGTAGCTTGAGTTGAAAACATCCAATTATAATTTACATGAAGCAAAATGATTACTATAAAAAAGGTGTTTGTGTATTTCTATACATATGTATAATCCAATAATATATGTAATGAAGTACCTTTAACACATCAGGAAGCATCTTCTGTAACTTTTTCTCGCCTATGATACAGAAACACTGCTGAAGCATTTCTTTTTTGTCTGATATATAGAAACTAACTGGTTTTAATGACACAGTCAGGTCCAGTCCACCTTCTTCAAGGTCACTGTGCTCTGCCAAGAATAATTCTTTTTCCAAAGTCGGCAAAAGGTATTTGGTATCCTAAAATTAAAAGAGACAAAAAACCGTTAAATAAAGGAGTATGCATATGATGTCATACATTTACATTTAATAACTACTTCTTCATTAAACATTTCCAAATTCTTTCTTTGCATAGATTATTTACCTAAAGCCAGTAAAAAATATTTAATTGTTCAATATTCTTTGATCTTACTGTCTGTACAATTAACTTGATCAGTTGATATTAAGTGAAGAGATTATCTCATGACACATAAGTGAAAATATACTCAATATTAAAAAAACAAAAAAGAAAAGAAAATATACTCAGTATTGAGTGATCTACAATTTTAGACTTCTGAACAATTAGGATATTCCTCTAGTGTGCCACTCAACCCAAAATTTTATGTATGCATTGTTATTCTTCTTAAATTCATAAAAAGAAATGGGATGGCAGCAAAAATGCTGAAGATCACAATTATGAAGTATTACTGCTTACCAGGAGCTACACTCATTTTTAAAACTGCTATGTAATTTAATCATATTCAAAGTAGCCAAGTCATTTAAGACATTTCTGTCAATTTTACCTCCTAACTCCAAAATCTATCCAGTCTCTCCAAATCTACTTGCCATAATCCTGGTACAAGGTACCATCATCTTTTGCCTAGATTATCTCAACAGCTACTTAACTGGATGTCTTGTATCTAATCTGAGGTCTCTCCAAAAATATACATATACTCATCCTCTTTTTTTTTTTTAAGATTTTATTTATTTATTTGACACAGAGAGATACAGCGAGAGAGAGAGAGAGCACAAGCAGGGGGAGTGGGAGAGGGAGAAGCAGATCCCTGCTGAATAGCGAGCCCGATGCGGGGGCTCAATCCCAGGACCCTGGGTTCATGACCTGAGCCAAAGGCAGACACTTAACAACTGAGCCACCCTGGCGCCCCTATACTCATCCTCTTTATAACCTTTCAACGAGTCCGTACTAATCTTAGAGTAATAAAGCCTATCTGGGCCAACATGTTCATTGTTTGTGCTACAAACACAACCACCTCTGAATTACTCAAATATAACCTCTTCTCCCTTCACCTCATTCAGACAGGGCTTTTGTTCGTACCACTCTGCCTAAGACAGCTTTTCCTCCCCATTCCCCCCCCAACGTTATACTCCTAAAATTAACAAATTCAGATATCAATTCAAAAGTCATTTCTTTAAGAAAATCTTCCCTGACTATATAGTTCAGGTAAATTATATTTTCTAATAAAACTGTTTTAAAAGTGGTCCATCAAGTGATAAATGGAAAAACCAATTGTGGTATAGCCATACAATGAAATATTATTCCATTCATATAAAATGTCCGGAACAGGGAAATCTATAAACCTATAGAGACAGGAAGTAGTGACTGCCTAGGGATGGAATGTGGTGGAGGTATTAGGGATGATAGCTGGAAGGTACACATCAGATCTCTTTTGGAGGTAATGAAAATAAAACTGACTATAGTCATGACTGCACAACTCCATTAATATGCTCAAAACCAGTGAACTGTATACTTGAAATAGGTGAATTGTATGGTATATGAATTACATCTCTATAAAGCTGTTACCAAAAACAACAATAATAGAGAACACAGTACACACCAGATGTAATGGCACTCTCAGAATTCTGAGATGTTATCCACATGCCTAATATATAATGACTTCTTCTTTCCTTTATAAATTAGAACTAGGGTTTAGTTCTGCATGGAAATACTAATATTATTAATTAATTTAAAAAAATTTTAAGACCCACAGAACTATACAGTCCAACAGTCCAGTTCTAATAAGAAAGTTCTTCAAGAAAAAGATAGAAACTATTCTGGAACATATCCCAAAAATGCAAAGCTTTCCAAATCAATCTATAAGGCAAGCATAATCTTGATACCAAAACCAGACAGGATAACTACAAAAATAAAAACCATAAGCTGATTTAACTTAGGAACATAGACACAAAAGAATACTGAATTCCAGCTGAGTACAATAACCAAACCAACAAACAGGATCTATCCCAAGACTGCAAGACAGTTTAACATGAGTTAATTTACCAATTTAATAAAAATTACATTATCCGATTGAGGGAGGAAAATTATGTAATCATCTCAAAGAATGCCATAAAAGCATCTGATAAAACTCTACAACCCTCAGTGAACTAGAATTGAATCAAATGTCCTTAACTTGATCAAAAGTATCTTTCACAACCTTTGGCAAATATACTTTTGGATGGAACATTAGAAGTGTTCCCATTAAAAAAACAAACGAGAAAAAAATGCCTACTATCATTGCTTCTGTTCAACACTACACTAAAAGTCTTAATGTAAAAGTACAAAAAACAAGAAATATTAGTGCTGAAAAAAAAGACAAAATCCCCTGTTAGCACAAATTTTTCTGAGTTAATTTTAAACTAGTAATTAATACTGTGGCTAAATGTAATGTTTAAACAAGAAATATTAGTGCTGAAAAAAAGAGACAAAATCCCCTGTTAGCACAAATTTTTCTGAGTCAATTTTAAACTAGTAATTAATACTGTGGCTAGATGTAATGTTTAAAAATATTAGAAAAAAACAAATATGTTGGGAGTATGGAAAGATCTTTCTAAACACAAAATCCAGAAGGCAAAGAATATTATTCGTCCTGACCACAAAGAAAAAAAAACTTCAGTACACCACGGACAAAGTTACAGTAACATTTGCAATATATCTTACACAGAGGATTAGAACCCAGACTTTATATAGACAGATTCAGAACTTATCAGTAAAAAGCTCAAAACAACCAAAAAGAAAATGGCCAGAGAATATATTTATGCAATTTACATAAGAAGGAATCAAATGGTAAATAAAAATATTAAAATGTTCAATCTATTAATCAGGAGTATATAAATCAAAACAAATGAAAAATTTATTTCACCCGCTGACAAACTTTTCAAAAATGGATATAGTGAGTATTGGCAGAAATGGGTATTTTTTTCTAATGTTTAGACTATAAATCAGTGAAATAGTTTTTGGAAAGCATTTGGTGGTACCTACCAAACCTTTTTAAATGCATGAACTTTGACCCAGCAATTTCACTTCTAAGATTCTACCCTAAAGTATTTGTTGGACAATATATACGTACAAGGGTTCATTTTCACATTCTCTGTAACAGCAAGAAAACTAAAAATCTAAATATTTATCAATAAAAATAAAATGGAATATCCCGCAGTCACTAAAAAATAAGACAGTATCTAATTCAATGGGAGGTAATATCACAATAAAGCTTATGTGTAAGAACTTAAATACATATACTTGACAAGAGTTAATGAAGAGGCTGCGTAGCAAATAAAGGGGAGGTTTAAACAGATTCTCATGCTTTCTCCTTTATTTCTGTGTTGTATAACTATTATGTATTCATGCTTTCGTTTTATAATACAAGCAAACGGCTTTTTTTTAACGGCGGTATCTTGGTAGATCGATGGGAGTGTAAAAAACATGGCTTTTATAATCAGATACTGGATTCAAATTTAGGTCTTACTAACAAACTGTGACTGTGGGTAAACTTCATTAATCTCTCTGAGCTTCAATTTTCTCATCCTGTAAGGCGGAATTAATCATAAACTACTAAAACGTGAAGATGAAGAAATAAGTAAACCGTGGCTCTCAAGGGCGCTGAAGGCTAGTTCCTGACCCTTACTTTTCAGGTAGACTGCTACTGGAGTGGAAAGGGGCCAAAAGCAAAGAGGTAGATGATCAGCATATCCGGAAAAGTTAAAGGCATGGGAGTGTGCGGTTCACCGGTATTTAGTAACATGAACCTCAAGGAGGAGTGGAACCTTGGAATCGTAGCGCTAAGTGAGCTACAATAAGAGCCCCATCCGTCGCCACGGTCCGCTCCCCGCCCGTCTTCGTCGGAGAACACTGCGGCTCCGAGAGCAGCGAGAAGGGCGCGCACGCACCTGCTGCAGGGACCCGGAGACGCTGGAGGATGAGTCAGTGCTCCTCCGCTTCCGGCGCTCGCTGCGCTCCACGCTGCTCCCTCCCCAGCAGCTGCCTCCACTCCCACCGCCGGTGACACTTCCACTGAAGCTGGTGTTCCCACAGCAGGTGACGCTCCCGCAGCCGCTGGTACTCCCGCAGCCACTGGTGCTTCCACTGCCACTACTGGCTAGGGCGGGCACCAAGTCCGGAGCTGTGAGCGCCGCCGCCGCTTCCTGACCGCTTCGTTTGCGCCGCTTCTCCCGGGAAGACTTCTTCCCCGTCATGATCCCCCTGCTGCAACCATTCGGCAAAAGCCGGCCGTCTCTGAAGCTACCTAAACCCCGCTGCGGCGGCGGCTACGGACGCGAGTGCTGACGGCGAGTGCTGGCGTCGCAGCTTGTGCGTCACTTCCGGCCTCGTCGCAGAGGCCGGGAGGCGTTCCTGGAGGGCGTGACTGACACCAACCGTGCTTCCTTGCGAAAGGTGGAGGTTGGCTTGAATTTATTGGAGGGCTAGCAGGTTGTCTTGAACATTAAGGTTTTTGTGCTTTTCTGCAAAGAACAGAAGGTGGAGGTTTACAGCAGCACTTTGGCTTATTGATACTTCTTTTCAGATTTTGTCCTATACACATACACAGTAAGCTATGGGTGTAGTTTTTTGTCTTCCAATGTTTGTTTATGACACTAAAATGTAACAGAACTTGGGGAAAATCTCATTAACATCATCACCAGGGCACATTTTTTGAAGGTATTTTAGGGAGTTATACAAGAATAGGGTTTTGTGCTTCCTTGTTTTTCCCCATTAACACTAATTTTTAGGCATGTTTCCTTTTCACTTCTAAAGGCATTTGGGTCTAGTATTTCACCGTATTTCTCTTAAATGCTGGCATTTAGGTTGTTGCCAGTCTTACATTTTACAATGTAAGCAGCTATGAACAGCTTAAGAAAAAAAATTACATTATTTTCCTTATGGTATTTTGTCCCCCCAAAACAAATTGATCAGCACCTTCTTTTTCTTTTCTTTTCTTTTTTTTTTTTAAGATTTTATTTATTTGAGAGAGTGGGCGAGAGAGCACACGAGCAGGGGCAGAAGGAGAGGGATAAGCAGACTCCCCTGCTGAGCAGGGAGCGGGATGCCTGTGGGTCTCCATACCAGGACCCTGGGATCATGACGTGAGCAGAAGGCAGACGATTAACGACTGAGCCACCCAGGTGCGCAACACCTTATTTTTCTTGTCCTACTTAATCAGATTCCTTTGAGAAAGATCAAGCTAATTTAAAATGTCATCCATACACAGAAACCTTAAAATTTTTTCTAATATATAATAGAGTTTTAACTTACATTTTTTATTTTGATTCAAGTATAATTAATGTACAGTGTTATATTAGTTTCAGCTGTATTATATAATGATTCAACAATTCTGTACATTTCCCAGTGCTCATTAAGATAAGTGTACTCTTAATTCCCTTTATTTATTTCACCTATACCACCACCCATCTCCCATCTGGCAACCACAAGTTTGTTCTCTTTATCTAAGAGTCTTTCTTTGTCTCTGTTCTTTCCTTTGCTCATTTGCTTTGTTTCTTACATTCCACATGTGAGTGAAATCATATGGTTTTTGTCTTTCTCTGCCTTATTTCACTTAGCATTATACCCTCTCGATCCATTCATTTTGCTACAAATGACAAGATTTCATTCTTTTTTATGGCTGAATAATATTCCCTTACATTTATATTTTATATATATATTATATATATTTACCACATCTTCTTTATCCATTCATCTATCAGTGGACATTTGGGTTGCTTCTTGGCTATTGTAGATAATGCTGCAGTAAACATTGGGGTGCATATATATTCTTTGATTTACTTTGAATACATTAGTTGGAACAATATTTCCTCATCAACAAGTGCTAATAAGTTTAACCATTTATCTACTGAAATCAGTGTGTTGACCTGATAAATGTACATAAATTATTTATGTTGGTGAGATGGGAGAAGGGAGCAGGGATAAAATACTGGCATATCAGTGTTTCTATTTTTTCTCTCTCCCTTCCTTCCTCAAAAATTGCCTTTTCAGACTAGTTCTTGGTTTTCAAAGGAGAAGAAGATAAGAAGTCTTCAAGAAGAGTTTAGTAGTGCACAGGATTGGTAAGGGAAGTCCCAGGCCGCTTTTAGAAAGAATTTGAGGCAAGAAATGCAAAAGAAAAGCAGCAGTGCATGAGGGCAACAAATGGAAGACAACTGAAGAGAATTTAGGGAGTGTTTCTGGAGATTATGTATTTCCTGCATAGAGTGCATGAGGGACAAATAAAGGACTTAAGTGAGTTTTTGAAAATTGAGTATGTGTCTTGGGTTTATCAGTGCTAGATTTTGTGGGCTGCTGTGTAGGATTTTGGAAACACAAGCCAGGTTTTAAAATCAGGATCAAGAATACATATTCTAAAAAAATTGCTATCATGTAGCAAGGGTGGTCTCAGCAGGGGCTTTAGCCATAGAAGGAAAAAGATAGGGCCTGGGACAACACTAGCTGAGTGATAATAATCCTAAAATTACCACTTGAGGGACAGAAAGCAATTTAAAAAAAAAACTTCCCTTTGACCACATTTCCTACCTGTCTCAGCCATTCAGCAACTTTTAATAAGTGCATAAAACAAAACAGATGCAGGGGTAATTACAGCCCTGTGAAAACAGCTATCTCTACCCCCTGGCTCCACCCTTAGTTTTGCCTTCTAAGGTAAATGCTGAGACTGAGCATACTGTGCTCTTGGAAGTTCTATATTGACCTCATTAAGTATCTTACCTGAAAGGATTGAAAGTATTATGTTCATAGAATAAGCACATAAAATTAATAACATGTAACATTTGTAACCTTGTTACGGAGTGAATTGTGTCCCCCCAAAATTTATATGTTAAAAGTCCTAACTCCAAATCTATCTGTACTTGGAGATAGGGCCTTTAAGGACATAATTAAAGTTAAATGAAGTCATGAGGGTTGGGGCCCTAATCTGATGAAACTGGTGTCCTTATAAGAAGAGATACTAAAGATCTCTCTTCTCCTGTCCCTGGTCTCCTACCCTTTCCCTTCTCCCCTCCACCCCCACCCCACTCCTCTGTGAGCACACAGAGGAAAGCTTAGTGTGAGAAGGGAACCAGCTGTCTACAAACCAGATAGAGAGATGTCATCAGAGATCAATCCTGACAGCACCTTGATCTCAGACTCAGCCTCTAGAACTGTGAGAAAATACATTTCTGTAGTTTAATCCACCCAGTATGTGGTATTTTGTTAAGGCAACTTGAGATGCCTGATACAAACCTATGATGGTATGTATTAGCCTGGATAGTTGCATATTAATTACTGGCTGCAAATTTTTCCCTTATAAAATCAGTTGAGAAGCTTCTCGGTTTCTACCTCATTCTACAGCAAACTGACAAATAGTTCCCATATTTCTTTGGCTGGAGCAAGAAGCCAGGACGCTGCCAACTAGATGGTTTAAGAATTTATCCGTTTGGCAGATGAATCCCAGTCTTTGTCCACTCTTCCATATTCTTGTTCTAGAATACAAAGGCATTGTTTGACCACTGGTGATAGAGTACAGAATAGACAAAATCCACGCCTTCATTAGCTTATATTCTGGTAAGGAGAAGCAAACCAAAAAACCACACAATAGGAAGTGCTTCCATCCTCACTCTGGCATTCTGCATTCTTCTTACTCTGCTTTATTTTTCTTCAGTGCTCTTAATACCACTACACATGCATTTGTTTGTCTGTCTCCTTTCACTTGAATGTAAGCTCCATGAAAGCAATGACTTTGTGTTACTCACTTCTCTATTCCCACTACCGAAGTGCCCTTAATAAAAAATTTCTCACATAGTTGGTTCTTAATAAAAATTCCTTGCATAAATGAGTGAATGAAACACAGTTTCAGATGGAGAACCACAGTTATCCAGGATTATATGAACTCACTAAATTATGAGAGTAAAAGTACCTAGTGAAATTAATGGCCAGAAATTCCTTTATTAAAGGAGGTCATTAGGAGCTTTGCTGGGCATAGTTCAGTGCTCCTTCATCACATGGCAGAGAGACTTAGCTACAGGGACTCAGCTGCCGCTGTGACACTGACAATCACGGGATTTGGAGCGATCGTTACAAACAGCTTTCTAACAGAAACTAGATAATTCTACGTGGAGCTCTGCCATGCAGAGAACAGGGAAAGGACTTTGACTTGTGGTTGAACAGGTCATAGACACATCACAAGGTTGGTTGGCTTAAAGCCAGAGAGATGCCATTGTCTATTTAGGTTGAACCATATGAAATTGCCGTTTTTGGAGGTCAAAACTGATTGAATGTTGACAGTTTCATATGTTCACTATAATATTATAGAGATGAAGAGACCCAGCATTGAACATTGTTACAGACTTCAAGCTCAGCAAACAAATGCAGGACCGTTTTTCTGTCCTGGAACAAATACATGGGAGGGTGGACAGAGACTGGAGGTTTTGTTTTTTTTTTTTTTTTAAAGATTTTATTTTTATTTAATTATTTGACAGAGACGGTGAGAGAGGGAACACAAGCAGGGGGAGTGGGAGAGGGAGAAGCAGGCTTCCCGCTGAGCAGGGAGCCCGATGCAGGGCTCTATCCCAGGACCCTGGGATCATGACCTGAGCTGAAGGCAGACGCTTAACGATTGAGCCACCCAGGTGCCCCCAGAGATTGGAGTTTATATGCCCTTTTTATAAATGCTCTTCAGCAACTCACTGAGCATTCATCACAATCATCAGCCTGGGATATGTATGTACTAACGCTAGGGCCAATCAGTATTTCTTTGGAATTTATAAAGAGACACTAGGTGAGAAATTCAGTCTTCCCCTTAAATGAACTGTAAGGAAATTATCTCTAGTTGTCACGTTCTCTGTCCTGTGCTCAACAAGAGACACTGAAACAAGACACAGAAAGTCCTAATACTGTCATTTTCATATCAATGAGCCAACAATTGTCTCCTTTTTCATTAAGCTGATCTGAATTGGTTTCTATCACTTGCAACCTGGATTCCTGATGAATACAACATGTAAGACCTTGCATGATCTGAACAGCATTTTTCTCTGTAGCCCCATATCTTTCCTAGAAATATGCCCTCTGGGCCTATCCAACAACCCCACCTCCACTCATCTTGTTAACTCTAAAATTCTTTTTAAGTATCACTCCGTATTTGAAACCTTTCCAAATCACTTCCTTTCTTAATCCCGTTAAAATGAAATGCTTCTTCCTTTGTAAAACATTGTCTTCCCTACAGGGCATCCAGAACTCTTGACTTCAGGTATTTGTTTGGTATCTTCTCCAATATACTGTT